GAGTCCAAATACTGACTCGCCGAGTTGGGTAGAACAGAGGTGAAGAAAAACGATTTCCAGCAAGCAAAACAGTTAAGCATCACAGTCAATTGAAACCAATCATGGCTCTGATACCACTGATAGGTTTTGGACATAAGAACTTTCCCTGTGTGCACATACAACCCTGTAGCTTGGATCTAGGTTTCACTACTTGAACATGCAATATATCCAAGACTTTCATGGCTAGATCTAATGTAAACTAACAATTAAAACATATGAAAACAAATCTAGAATAATACCTTGAGTTACTTTCTTGAAACCTTATTCTTCTTGGAGCTTAGAGTCACAAATGTCACTCCTCTAATGGTTTACAAACACCAACTAGCAAGAAGATGATTTGAGAGAGGTGAGGGAGAGGGAAATCGGCTCTAGGGTTACTCCTATCACAAGAGTGGCCGATTTCCTCAACCCTATGGGTCTATTTATACTGTGAGCTCCTAGGGTTTCACCATAAAACCCTAATTGGAAAACTTAGCCTCAAAGAAATCAAAATCCTCTTCTAGATAAGGCCTTGGACGATCTCTAGGTGATCCACATCCCTAAAATCGTCGAACCCATTATCCATAAGGATTCTTAGCTCAAAATACAACTATCACACATTTGACAGTTTATACCCCTTTCTTCAATGAATCTCTTTAAGTCATCAAATTAATTCCTAATTAATTTATGACTTATATTAATCAAATTAATATTATTATTCCTTTAATATATTATTCTCATAATATATTAACAATAATACTTCTTCTCTCTATATAAATCACCCTGTCAAGTTTCTATGGTGAAGGAAACCCAAAAGGACCATGCATAATCGGGTCAAGTACTTACCAAATATAGTTACAGCCTTAGACACTAATCCAACAATAACTGCATAGCTAATGATTCATCACATGCTATTTCTTGGGTTCTTGATACAGGGTGTGGTTTTCACATTTGTTCTAATTTGCAGGGCCAAAGAACAAATAGGGATGTGGAGCATGGGAAGATAAACTTGATCATGGGGAACAGAAGATTGTCACCTGTCACCATGATGGGAGTTTACTCTTTAGTTCTTAGTAATGGATTTGGACTAGATTTGAATAATTATTGCTAATTGCTTCAAATGGAAAGAAACATCAGTTCTTTTCATGGTTTGTATAGACAAGGATTTAGATATTAATTTGATAATGAAAATGGTTCTATTAATGCTTATCTTAATGGTGTTTTTAATTTTGAAGCATTGCCTTGTAATGGATTATATGAAACTGTGATGGTTGTAGAGAATTTAGGAAATGATGTGTTGTGTATCGATTCTTCGAATAGTTTGGATAAAGCATGCTTGTGGCATTGTCGTCATGGACATATCAACAACAAACGTATAGCTCAACTCCAAAAGGCTGGAGTGTTGGAGTCATTCGACCTTAGGGACGATGACGTGTGTGAGTCTTGTTAGCTTGGAAGGATGACCAAGTTGCCCTTCACTGTTACTTTTGAAAGGGGTGAGGGTTTATTGGATCTCATACACACCAATGTGTTTGGGCCCTTTAGATCCGCCACAAGGGATGCGATCCGCTTCTATGTGACTTTCACCGATGATTATTGCAGATATGGATATATCTACTTGATCAAGCACAAGTTAGAAACCTTGGAAAAGTTCAAAGAGTTTAAACAAGAATTGGATAATTAGTTGGGCAGGAAAATCAAGATGCTTCGATCCGATCGAGGTGCAGAGTACCTTCGTCTTGAATTCCATGAATACCTCAAGGCATGCAGTATCATTTCGCAATTGATGCCAACTAGGACACCACAGTTGAATGGTGTGGCAGAGAGCGATAATCCAACCTTGCTAGACATGGTTTCTTCCATGATGATTCATGCTTCACTACCTATCTCATTCTAGGGGTATGCCTTAGAGACTGCCGCCCATATCCTTAACTTAGTCCCAACAAAGAAGGTTGCCAAAATACCTCACAAGATGTGGACAGAGAATGTTCCCTCGTTGGCGCATATCAAGGTTTGGGGTTGCGAGGCTTTCATAAGATGAGAAACTCACAACAAGCTCGAACCTCATAGTGAGTTGTGTAGTTTCATCGGCTATCCGCAGAAGTCCTTTGGATATCTCTTTTATAGACCGAGTGATAATGTTGTCTACGTTGCAAGGAGAGGGTTGTTCCGAGGGTGAGACCTCATAATCCAAGGAGATAGTGGAAGGCAAATCGATCTTGAAGAGATTCAAGAATCGAACGATGAAGGAAGCTCTAATGCGGGTGCTTAATCCAAGGAGGAAACTCCGATTGAACCAATTGACAAGTCCTTACCTCTTAGATGTTCAAAAAGAGTTATTGTTCCGCTTGTGTTATATGGTTTTAATATAACAAGTGAGGGTCATATGTTTATTATTGATAGTACACTAATAAATTTGGATGAACCTAATAGCTACAAGGAAACCATGGTAGGCCCAGATTCTGCGAGATGGAAAGACGCTATGGACAGCGAGATTCAGTCCATGCATGACAACCAATTTTGGAATTAGGTTGACAATGTGTCAGGTCGTAAGACAGTCGGGTGCAAGTGGATCTTTAAGAAGAAGGCCATCATGGATGGCAAGGTACAAATTTATAAGCACGATTGGTTGCAAAGGGCTTTACTCAGTGTCACACCCCAAAACCAGAACGGCAGAAACGTTCTGGGGTGGATGACGTCATGTCAAGTATCACAACATATGCAGTATAGTAATCAAAGTACAACAACCATTGCATAAATAGTAATAGTTTTACATAAGTTAAATTTTATAGAGACATCAAAGCAATATAGAAACTAGTATAGATGCAGCTCGGTTCTAGGCTGGCTTCACAAAAGCTCCCGGGTGTACCTGTCTATCGTTGACCTGAGAATACAAGTTATTTTCAAAGCGAGTATCATCATTTTTATAAATGTTGCTGAGTTCATAAGTATTTAGTGTCATTTGTGTAAGTAAGCATTTTATTAAAAATAACTTTATAAAAAGTAGTAGTTTAGAATCTACGGTGTATTAACGTCCTTTCCAGATATCCTATATTTTCTAAATAAAAGCAGTCTTCTACCAAGACCTGACAGAGTTATGTTTTAAGGAGAAATTTTCCCTGAAATGCTATCATTATCATAAAACAGTATTTGACTTTTAAAGAAAGTAGGAGAATATCACTAGTAAAAATACTAGGGGAAAATAACATATGCCTCAATAGAAAATACTGCTGACTAAGGCAAAAGAAATCATAGACTCCAGGAGAGTATCGAACGAATGATACGCCTGGCTCAGTCTAACAAAAGGAAACACAGACCCAGATGGTATAAAATGTACGATATGGCTAGCAAGGTCTAAAACAATGGAACACAGACCCAAGACAGTATCAAATGAACGATACAGCTAGCAAGGTCTAAAACAAGGAACACAGACCCCAGACAGTATCAAATGAACGATAAAGCTAGCAAGGTCTAAAACAAGGAAACACAGACCCCAAACAGTATTAAATGAACGATACAACTAGCAAGGTGTAAAACAAAGAAACACAGACCCCAGGCAGTATCAAATGAATGATACAACTAGCAAGGTCTAAAACAAAGGATAATCCTAAGAGTGTTGTTTCAAGAATATAGTGTTAATTCTTGTTACCTTAAGGGCATAAATTATAAGGTAAACATAGAGATACTCGTAACCATACTGATTAACACTAGAGTACTTGACGCCCTGCAAGCATCAGAATAAATGTGACATTTGTCACCCCTTGGCTTGGTAGGCCATGGACTGTAGCTAGCAGTCAGGGTGTGGGAGTGCCAGTCCCGTATAGATCTCATTACAAGAAAAAGACCCTTTTACGATGCACAAACAACGACACTCGGAGATATATGTTACGTAAAAGAGAGTAACGTTAAATAAGTGTCATCTCTTCAAAAAATTTAAGGATTTAGGTCGCGCATTATTGTGTGCCCTTAAATTAGTGTCTAATGTAAAAAAATAAAAAACACGGAGGGCACTTTAGCTAAAAGGTGCGTCGTCTATGAATGTTGTTTTATATTTTTTTATGAAACGCGCTTCTCACTTCTCCTTAGAGGGAAAATGAAATCCCCAAATTTTTTAAACCCCCTCCTTCTTCTCCCTCGTCTCCACCCTCACCCACATCCATTGCCTCCAATCCTCGTTGCCTCTTCTAGTCTCAAACCCGATCCTCGCGTTAAATGGTTCAGTGACTACGACTCATCAACCGTCAATCGACAACTACGACTCATCAACCGTCAATCGAAGCTACCTGTTGAACAACCCCTAATCGAAACCTCAACCTTCTCGTCTCTCTTTCCCCAAAAATTTTGAACATCCGCCTTCCTCTTCCTCTGTACTTTCTATACCCGCCAGATCGATTTCATTCTCTCCCTTCCTTCTCTCTACAAACCCCTTCCTCTACGATCGACTTTCACTCCTTCTCTATGCAAACCCTAATCAGACATAACGCATTTGCAATGGTAATATCTTCTTTCACAAATTAGACGATTGACCGAAGAACTTGGGCTTTTGATGAATCATGCATTACCAACAACGATAGCTACCCATCATAATTTGTGTTTTCTCTCGGACTCCACCATTCCAACATCGCACCACAACAACGATTCCAGCCACGAATCAACAGTTTTGAGTTTTTTGGCTTCAATTTTGAAGGTACGTAGACATGATTTTAAAGTTATGAACTTTTTTCTTTCCTATGCTACCACTTTCCCCCTTTCCTTTTTATTTCACTCTCCTTGTAATTACCAATAAATTGAGATAGAGAGTCGGTCTATCGATTAATCAACCATGGTGGATGATTTGGTGTAACTATCACCTGTTATATTTTTTTGAATTTTTTTGTTCGAACAATGCATGCCAACTGTTCGTTGAATTGCTCAAACGAAACTTCCATCACAAAAAATGAATCGATGGTCTACTTTTTTGTCCAGATTGCCCAGAGAGTGAAATGTTAGCCGTCGGGATGGCACCTTATGCTCATCTGGCGGTTTATAAAGTATGTTTTGGTCTAGATTGGCCAGAGAGTGACATCTTAACCGGGCTTGATGCTGCAGTAGCTGATGGAGCTGATGTGATATCAATTTCTATTGGAGAAAAAAACATGCCTTTTTTTCAAGACAGCATTGCAATAGCCTCATTTGCAGGTATCCAAAAAGGAATATTTGTGAGTTGTGCAACAGGGAACTCAGGTTCGTTCAATGGCACTGCAACAAATATAGCTCCATGGGTTCTAACAATTGGTGCTAGCACAACTGACAGAAAAATCAAAGCCACAAAAAAAAACTAGGAAATAATTAGGAATTTGATGGTGAATCTTTATTTCAGCCAAAAGGCTCCCCTTCTTCTACACTTTTACCACTCGTGTATGCTGGTTCTAATGAGTAGTTAGTATGATTAGAATTGAACCTCCTTCTTCCAATCGACTGGGCGTGTGATCAAAAAGTTTCGAGGTCACGACAGTGAGGTGTGTAATTTCCCTAACAAACCAATTTATCAATCACATAACACATATTTATAATTTCACAATCATAACACCATTTTTGTGCAGGTGAATGCAGTAAAGTTCAATGAGTATTCATCTGTTGTTGTAGCAGCAGGGTATGATCGTTCCTTACGTGCCTGGGATTGTAGATCTCACAGCACTGAGCCAATTCAGGTTTAGCTTTCTTTCCCTTTCCCTTTCCCTTTTCTACATCTACGTTTGTACTAAGTTTTTTTTATATATATTTATATTATCAAAAGTTGATGACAGTTTTAATTGATTCACAGATCATTGAAACCTTTCTAGACAGCGTTATGTCTATTTGTTTAACAAAAACTGAGATTATTGCTGGAAGTGTTGACGGAACTGTACGGACATTTGACATCCGGATTGATGGAACTGTATCTCTCTATCAAATGATGGTAACTGTGTATTAGCTTGGAGCACAAGAGCATTGAATATTGATGTGACCACCATGCAATTTGAAAGGAGTAGAAAGAGGGGCATAACAGTCTTTTTAGATTATGATTGGAGTAGTGGAGATCAAGTTGATGTTTGGGTACAAGATGGGTAACCATTTAACTCAACTCATTACATTTTCAATCGTTAATACTTATTAATCATCACAAACTCTATTTTTTTTACTGTTTTTTGTAGCTGGCATGAAGCAATTGTTATGGACACAAATAAGATTGATTTGACTTCTTTAACTGTCCAGATTCCTGGTAGGTATTGTTATCTGACTTTTCCTTCAAAATTTATAAACTGTATTTAGTTTTTACCTTTTTTCCCTTTCCAGCTCAATGAAAGACATCAATTGTTAGGTCATGGCATGTGAGGCCAACTCTTGTTTGGAAGGATGACAAGTAGATTGAGTGGTCTAGTTTGAAAGGACTCCATTCTTCTGAGGTTAGCTACTATCTCTTTTCCCCATTTATTTGGTTTCTTAATTTTTTTTATATAAAATATGTATATATATTCCTAAAGGCTAAATCCAATCCTCTCCAATCTACTAGAAAACCACCAATTCCAATGATTGTCAGAACTTTAGCTCAAAAGGACAAATAAAAACCCTCTCTTAGTGATAAAAATGTCAAGGATTCTTCTGTCAGTGCTGATGAAAACATACCAGGTCAGCAACAAAAGGATATGGGGTTTCGTTCTTCTTTTCCCCATTTATTTGGTTTCAATTTATGTTCACAAGTTTAATAAATTCTCTAGATTTAAAAAGAAGTATTGCTATTTAGTGTGCTCTTTAACTGACCTATTACTATTGTAGATTGAGGAAGTAAGTCATTCAGTGATTCAAAATATGGAAAACATGTCTAAATTGCTTTACTACTTTTTTTCAAGTTTCTTTTCTTCATATCATGTCATCTCTTGTATTTGTTTCAGTCTTTTACCACTTTATATTCCTGTCATATTCAGTCTTTTAACATCCAATTATCATCTTTGAGTATTGGGTTTTCTTTCTTTTTTGCTGCTGTGTTACCCTGCGTTAGGCTTTATAAAATGAATTTCTTTGCTGAAAATTGTGTATAATTTTTGTTAGAGCTTCTTTGGGCAGTTGGAGAAGGACATCTTATCTTTAGGTACTACATAAAATGGTGTTTTTATCTCTGATGATTCCCTTAACTTTTTGTTGTTTGATGATTTTATGGACCCAAATAGAGAAGAAAAAAGGTACATTTTTTTTATTTTTCCACATTTACCCTCCATGATCAATGAAACTAACATCATCCAAGATCTATACATATACTTCATTATCTGGAAATAGTAAGACCACATCAATTACTGGAGCAAATGGTGTGTACTGCTTTCAGAGTTGCAGCTGACACTCTTAACCAGAATAGCTTATGAGAATAAAAATCGACCAATTATACTTCACCGTTGCTTCTGCATTGAAGCCTTTGCAAGGTATGTGTAATGTCTTATTTACAATTTTTTGACACAAGGGTAAAGTAGTCATTTTTTTAAAACGGCTTTGTGTTATATTCGAACACGTGGAGAAGCTGCTAACACTTAGCAGTGGCAGTGGGAAAAATAAATTGGAAACAAGCATACCAGATCAGCATCAGGATCTGAGGAAGGCATCATGATAATAACTTCAGTTGCTTTAGTAGTTGTTATAGAAGTTTTGCCTTTTCTATTCAAAATTATAACTTAAAAACACCACCTGTTCCCTCTTTTCTAGCTTGTATTATTGTTGCTGGCTTCCAAATGAGGCCTTAATTGTCATAAACATTCTACTGTTAGATTTGGCCCTAATTTCTTTAATTGTCAACGATAGTGGGGTAGCATATTGAACTATTTGCTTAAGAAAGAAATTATATCTTGTCCAATTTATATTTGAATTCAAGTTATGCATAATGTCAATATTGTTGGATTAATAAATACATTATACCTAAAGAATAGAGATTGTATGATGAAAGAAAGATTGTAAATTACCAACTATTGGTTTATCATTTGCTGAGTTAACCTACATTTTTTTTTCTGTAGTTTTATCTTGTTTCTGATATAGCCGTGAAAGAACTCATTGCAGTTGCCACCAACAGAGAAGGTAAGCTATAATATGCCAAAGTTGAATTACTTTTTAAGAAATAGCAACCTACTTTTAGTTATTTGTTTATTATATCAACATACAACATCAGATTCAAAAAGTGTTGTAGAGCTAACAAATGGTTCTTCAGGTATGCAATACTCTAGGCATAATTATAATATAAAACTATAAAAAATTTAATTTTTTGATATATATTTTTTATTTTGTTTTGCAGAGGATACTAAAGACCAAATCTTGCAAAGGATATTTTTTGTTTTGTTTTGCAGAGGATACCCCTCACATTTTCCCAAATTACCCCTTCCTCTACAATGTTTTTTTGTTTCTGTGTATTTTGTGCATCAGGTAAAGTTGGTGGAAGAAAGGAATATGTAGCCACTTGATTCAAATCTTGCAGCATTAGTCTTAAAGAATTATGAAAGGCAAGATGCAACTTTACTTAGTTGGAATTTGATGTAGAGAGTAGATTAGATGCAAATTTAGATATTGTAAAAAAAAAATTGTATGACATTAAATTTTATGCAATGGATTGTATTTTTTGTATATGATATTTTATTTCTATTATGAGACATTAAATGCAAATTTAATTTAAAAATTAATAAATATATAAATATTTTTTTATAACATTTAAAATTATGATACGCAAAAATGTGTGTCATCTTCATTTATGACATGGCCTTTCTTGACAGGGGTTTCCTTGGTACGCATTGCGTGTCATAAACACGTGCGTTGTAAGGTTACGACATGCAAATGCGTGTCGTCTACCTTTATGACAGGGCCTTCCTTGATACGCAATGCGTGTCATAACCGCACGTCGTAAATGCGCGTCATAAATGCGCGTCGTAAATGCGCGTCGTCTCTCTTTATGACAGGGCCTTCCTTGACACGCATTTGCGCGTCGTCTGAGCATTTTACGACGTGCAATGAGCATCGTAAAAGGCCTTTTTTCTAGTAGTGTCTATACACACAATGCCTGCTCTCCCTCCAGGAGACTCTGGTTACCAACTTGACAACGGGGAAATCCGCATCTTGAAGATGCATCTCGTATTTTGGATTCAATTAGAGGCGCTGGAGTAATGATATAGACCCGCAAATGAACTGACTCCTTTGGAATTCTCGTACTAGAAAGACTAAATAGAAGCTCTTAACTATTCCTATAATAGTTACTAGTGTCTCGGATCTATGAGTGATAAATGGAAGGATGCCCTTGCTACCCAAGGGAAATGAACTGGTCGATGTAAACCTTTGTGTCTATACGTGTATACATGATATATAACCAATGTTTAAAAGACCTTCATACGGATATCCGATACCCACCAGACCACATCCCAACAAGGAAAAGGAAATAGGGCGAACTAACTTCCTAAATCTTTAAACATTAGTTATATAACTATACAAGTACAGGCATGCATTTAACGAAGTAGACGCCTAGAAGAAAACTTTGATAAAACCTTTGGACAACCATTAAAATAAGAATTTACGACTTGATATCGTTATGTAAAACAAGATTTGAAAATCATTCATAAACACGTTTTGAATATAATTTGATAACATAATATAATTAAAGAATACCTTTGTTTAAAACACTGCTGTAACTGCTTTAGAAGTAAAACATACAGCACGAGAGATAATTTGAGATAAGATTTAAACAAGTAAATACATTTTGGAAAACCATCAATAGTATTATACTTGGTAAAACAGCTGAAAGTGTAATAAATTCTTGTGCATGTGGGTTATTAATCACATATGATTGATATGATAACTAGCATGTTTTAACTTGTATTCCCCCCCCCCCCCCCCCATAAAAGCATGTAAAAACATTTAAAAGGTTAATTCAGGGGTATGAGCTCACCTGACGTTGGCGTTTCGGATGAATGGACGGTATAGGATGCTAAGTGTCAAGTGAGGACTTGACCACACACGCGGATCCTATGTAACATGTAATGATACATTTAAGTATCTAATTAGTCATTTAATAACTAATTAAGCCAGTAAGGATGTGTTACTACATAAAAACACTTTGCTACAAGTGCTAGATGTACTAAGGGTTGCGTAGAAGGTGTGTATGGACTCACATTAGAGTTTACTATTCAAATTATGGCCCTTATGGGTGTTTATGGTTTCAAGACCACTTCCCCCATGATTTTACAGCTGTAAAGTCATGGTAGTGGTGTCATGGGATGTTTAAAGGTCTTAACTCACTCATAGAATCATGCTAGAGTCAAATCTAGGGCTAAGGAAGTGATTATGGCTCAAAATGGACACAATAGGGAGTTTACGGTCCATTGACCACTCCTTGAGGAGTTTACGGTTGTAAACACACAAGTTTACGGTCATAAACTCATGTTAGCCCATTCCTTTTGTGCTTTGGTGGTTCTAGGTTATGTAGGCAAGGTTCTAGTCACTTATCTGGGCATAGGAATGTGTTAAAGGCACTTAAACACCTTGGAAAGGTGTTTACGGTCTATAAAGGTGTTCTTGGTGAGTTTACTACCTTAAACACATGATTTTATGGTTTTGGGAGACTTTCCCAAACCGTAAACTCAAGTGTTGCTCATTGGGGCATGTTTTGGTGCATCACATGAAGGATTACAAGCCTCTCGACACTCATGGAAGCTTTTGGAGGTGTTTGAGGGGTAATTTAACACCTTAAAAGGTGTTTATGGTCCTTGAAGATGGGTTTACGGTCCAAGAATGTTCTTAGACTGTAAACTCATGTTTACTCCCCATTTTTTAAGATTTTGGTGTTCTAAGTCCTTTCATGTAAGCCCTTAAGTCATAACTAAGCTCCATAACTGGTTTGGAAGGGTTTTTGGGCATTAAAACCCAATTTACGGGTGTTTACGGTCCAAGAATGTTCTTGGACGGTAAACTCATGATTTTGCCACTTTTGGGAGTCTTAAACACGAATTTGTATGTTAAACGAGCTAGACAACAAGTTAGGATAGATCACTTACTAGTTTGGGGCTTGAAAGAGGCGATTTTTGACCAAACCCGATTTGTAGAGGGAGATAGTAGAGAGAGAGACTCCTAAGGTGTGAAAAGGGTTGGAATGAAACCCACTCAACCCTTATATAGGGTGGAGTTTATGGCCTAGTTGGGGGTCCTCCCAACACCAACCGTGAACGGGGTTTTTCACGACTACCGTTAAACACAGAAATTTTAAAATTAGACCGCCTTATTTTTTGTTTTCTTGACGAATATTATTTAAAATATTTCAACGGGTTTAATTCCGGTAAAAAATATTTTTGGGATAAATTTGGCTAATTTTTGACATAGTTAATTTCGACGTTAAAACTAACGGAAATTTTTGGGTTGTCACACTCAGACTCCCGGAGTTGACTATGAGCAGACATTCTCACCAGTTGCGAAGATAAAGTCTATTAGGGTGATGCTTGCCATTTCTACATTTCATGATTATGAGAAATGGAAGATGGATGTCAAAACCACTTTCCTTCATGGGAAGTTGGCTGAGGATGTTTACATGAATCAACCAGAGGGTTTTGTTGATGTGAAGCACCCTAATAGAGTGTGTAAGCTTGGGAAGTACATTTATGGATTGAAACAAGCATCTCACAGATGGAATATTTGTTTCAACGAGAAAGTCAAAGAGTTTGGATTCCTCCAAAGCGAGGATGAGTCATGTGTATATGTCCAAGTCAGTGGGAGTGTAGTTAGCTTCCTCGTATTGTATGTCGATGACATACTGCTCATAGCAAATGACATCCCGACCCTGCAGGAAGTTAAGTCCTGGCTTAGGAAGTGTTTTGCTATGAAGGACCTCGGAGAGGTTGCCTATATTCTGGGAATAAGGATATTGAGAAACCAGAGTAAAAGACTGATAGGACTTAGTCAGAATACTTACTTGGACAAGGTCTAAAGTGTTTTAGTATGGAGAATTCCAAGAAAGGGAAGTTACCGATCCAAAGTAATGCCAAGTTGAGTAAGACTCAAACCACAAGTACCGAAGTTGAGATAATAAAAACAAGTCGATTAACTTATGCTTCCATACTTGGCTCGATCATGTATGTTATGACTTGTACGCGCCCTGATGTGGCCTTCGCTTTGAGCATGGTCACCAGATGTAAGGTCCTAAAACAGATCTTACCAGTGATCAAACAATCAACACAATCAATAATAACAAGAACAAACTAGAAACATAAATCTAAACAAGCTTGCACATGATTCTATTAGCAAAAACGTCTGGTAAAACTTATGGAATAACAGCTGAAAACTCTATGTTATCAACAACCATAAAATGACCTAGATAGCATCTATATATAGTGGACCTGGGCCGGCCTTAGGTTTACGGCCGTAAACTGGCTTATCGCCGTAAACTCACAGTCTAACCGTAAACACCTTTACAAGCTACCAAAACTGCATAATGACAGAAAAGAACCTATTACAATGAAAGCTTAAACCAAACCATTAATTAGAACCTTCAATCTCCCCCTTGGTTTGGTGCAAGCTTGAAGTTAATCTTTGTCGACAATCATCACATCTTCTTGCCCCATTCCACATGTGCTTGTTTATTATCTTAGCAACCATGGATGTGTATTCTTTCGCGGCTGACTCAAATATCTCCTCAACAACTTTAATCTAATAAAGGCTAAGATGATGAATGTCCCATATCCTAAACTAGAACAAATCCCATCTATCATACAGACGGATGCATCCCTCCTTTAGTTTGATAACAACAGATGTTGTGGTTTCATCAAATACCCAATAGAGCATAGAGCTTAGGGATCCATCCGAGTAACTTTGAAGCACAGGAATTTGTTTGACCTGATTTGTTGTAGGCCACATCACCACCTGAAGTGGATGACCAGTTTTTGGATCAATGACATCAGGATAATGCTTTATTACAGATTCAACAATCTTCATATATGGAAAGCCCTTTTTCACTTGATCTTCAAGAAAGTTTTTGAACTTTGTTGCTTGTTGATTATCTGATGGGTTTGATAAAGGAGATTGAGACAGCTCAGAAAGATCCACCCAGGTCCAAGAATTAAAATCATGACAATCTTTATAATGCTCCGTGTTGCCACTCTTTCTCCGCACAATCCACATATTTAGGATATCATGAAAACCCCAAGAGATGATTCCTAACCGATCACCATACGTGTCTCTAAACCTTACGGCCTCGAGATCCGTAACAGTGATTGTGGATTGATTCCCTGGTGCGTTTTTATCGGAACTCCTCTTCAACAAGAGTTGTCCCTTCTCAGCAGCTTTGGCTTGTCTGTCACGAATAATCTCTACAACATGTAGAGCATGAGTAGGCTCTTCTTCAAAACGGTCTACGACCCGTGAAGTCTGAGCTGTTGGCACGACAATAGGATGAGCCTATGAATGAAGATTGATTCTATACTCATCCGTAAAT